TGCTTTTTAAATGTAAATTCTGTGTGCATTTTTAAAGATTTCAGATGAGTAGAAATTTCAAATATTCTGAAAATGTCTTTAAATGATCTTGACAGGAATAGGGACAAAGGTCAGGGGCATTTCAGCAGTGAAGGTCCAGGACACTTCTCAGCCTTTGTTTCTTCTCTGTCACATTCCTTTTGGTGATTATGATACCACTCTTTCTATCAGCAAGAATGGCTCTGAGTAAAACACAAATAACTTATTTCATTTCTGCTCCCCAAAACTAACATATTTGGATTTAAATCTTAATGATTTTGCTGCTGATCATTATAGGAAATATGCATGATGAAAAACATAACCAAGAGACATTATAAACTTTAGTAAACTTTACTAATTCATGATCCATGGATTGATTTCTGAGATGAATAAGATCCCCAGTGGATATCTGCCTCAGCTTCCAAGCCTAAAAATGTATTCTTTCCTCTTTCTCCCAATTTCCAGGACAGAGTTCCTGCAAATCCCATATTTCTGGGAGACCTGAAAGAACCTGATGCCCTTAGTCTCGATGTTTCTTTGTATTTCTTAAGATCTCCAAAGCTAATCAGAATTCTCCCTAGATCTTTGCCCTTCAAAGCAACATCTTTGAGGAATATTTCAAAGCAGATATCATAGTTATCAGATACCTCCCGGTATAGCTGGATATTTAACACATTGCATACCCAGACCCCTTGATTCTGTCCAATTTCATTTGTTCAATTAACTTAAAGTGCCTAAATTCAAATTTTAAATATTCAAGTATCTAAAATTATATTACTTTTAGTTTTAGACCAGTGGGTACAATCCAAAATGGAAAATTCAGGCTCTCTTCGAATATACATATAAAACAAACTGGCACATGCGTGATACTCAGCAACAGCTGGAGCAGATCTGATGGGGGATGGAGGAGGGATTATGCTGTAAGATTTCCAGAGCTGGCTACCCAGGTATCTCAGTGACTGAACAGTATGCCTGGTCCCTGGTCATAAAAAGTACTAGTTGTACCTCAAAAAACTAAAAACCCAGGACTAATTCAGTGACAAATCCTCAAAGGGTTAAAACTGTTAAAGCCCAAGATGTGGTCCAATTTGGGTTTTACACAATTCTTCCCTAGAATTTTCATGAACCCACTAACCCTTAAACTTTGGAAGTAAACAGGCTACTTGGAACTAGTTTAGTTATATAGTTAACAGATTGTAAAAGTAGGCCTTCTACTCCTAGTCCTTTCCCATTTTCTTCTAAATGAATTCCTGAGAGGAGAACAGACCCATAAATGGAATGGAAGTGGGTGATTATTTTAAACCATTTTATAGCCTGAGGGAATAGCAACTCCAATAATCCCTTGGAGTAAGTCAGTTGAGGTAAACATTCATTGGAAAGCAAAGGGCAGAACTCTGTATCTTATCTGATCAAGTCTACGTTTCTAGAATACATAGAGTAATGAATGTAGCTCCTCTAACAACAAGAAGAATTTGGATTTTGCTTATTTCTCCTTCTGTTTTGCATTTACTAAAGTGAGGATCTTTTGCCTACAATTTCAAGACATTGATCACCTAGTACCTCTGGCAAAAGTAAATAATATCAGTGGCTACCACAGAAATGCTGAATGTTGAATTTTAAGATGGCATAAGTTAAAATGAATTTCCACTTGATAATCTGATTAGATATTTCTCAGTTCCAGAAATGGTATTTTTCCCAATTGTTTTTCAAGTCTGTATTCAGGTATTTGGCTGGAATCATAACGTCGCATTACTCAAGAGAGCTGACTTGCACTGCCACCTGACTGCTCCTGGACTAGTCACTGTCACATCAAATAGGTCACAATTTCTCTTTCCTTATAACTAGAAATAAATGTCTTTAACATTTTGACAGAACAAATACAATGCAGGAGTGTAGGTGTATGTTCAGCCTAGAAATTACCCACCAAAACTTTAAAAAAAACTTACTGAACTGGAATTTGACACAACATTGTAAAATGATTATAAATCAATAAAAAATGTTAAAAAAAACTTACTGAGAAAAATATTTGGGACATACTTAACTAGGTCCTGTTGAATACACTTAAATTGTTTCTCTTAAAAGTATGTATTTCTGATATTTTTGGAAATATGCACATTTCAAATGTATTTATTTTCCTATAAAATCTGATACATTTCACTTCCACAGGAAAAATACATTCTGACCCCCTATCTAAGGAAACAAGAGTGGAAGGTGATTGTTTCGGGCTTTTTTACTCCCTTGAGTTATAAAAAGGGATCAGGAAGATATAATGTGTAAAGCATGCCTCAGGTAGGGTCTGGAATAATACTGAACAGTTAGCTGAAGATTTTTTAAAGTCCATGGCCAGTATCAGATACTCAAGGTGAAATTAAATAGAGGATATTTTACTGTCCTTAATCCTATAAAATACATTTAGCATGTAATATTTGCCAGGCACTCTGCTAGGCTCTGTCATTTAAATGGCTCATTTAACCCTCACAACACACTGTGAGTGATATTATTAGCTCCATCTTACAAGAAGAGCAAAGCGATTCTTCAAGATGAAATAAGAAACTTGACCTGACTCACACAGTAGCGGTTCAAGCCTTCAGCTCAAGCCTCCTGTTACGAAAGCCAGTGCTTGCTTTCTCTCAGAGTTGATTGACTAGGGAAAAATCTAATAGCTCTAGGGTTGGTACAAACCAACAGCATACCTACAGAGTGGAAGAAGATATTTCCAATAAATGTATCTAATAAAGCACTCATATCACGAATAATATAAAGAACTGTTACAAATCAATATGACAAATAAACAATCCAATTGAAGAATGGATGAAAGATTTGAATACGCACTTTATAAAAGGGAATGTCCAAATGGCTATTAAAGCATATGTAGAAGCATTCATTCATTAGTTATCACAGAATGCAAATTATAACTACAATGAAATATAATCCTACATGCACCAGAGCAGCCAACAGAAAAAAGCCTACATGGGGGAGGGTACACAGCAGCGTCTAACACTGCTGGCAGCAGTTCAAATTGTACAACCCCTGTGGAAAACTGTTTGGCAGTAGCTACTAAAAGTGAATATGTGTATGCCCTATGACCCAGCAATTCCACCCCGTGGTATAGAACCAAGAGAAATGTATACATGTGTGTACCAAAAGTTATGTTCAAGTACGCTCACAGCAGCACTGTTTGTAACAGCCAAAAACTGAAAACTTCTAAAGGCCCAGAAATTTTGGTCCATACTAATAAACAGTGTGAGTTACTAATAATTATCCATGCATATATTAACTAGAACGTATCTTTAGTTGATTTATCCTGAATAATTGATCTGCCTCCAATTTATTCTCAAATGATATAAAATTCATTTCTCTAAAATGGAGGTTTATTGTGTCTAAACTTTAGTATTTGTGTGTGTATATATCTATGTATAATACCTACACACAAATACATGTATATATGCAATCAAACATATGTATGTACACACACAATGGAACAAGAAAAAAATTTCAATTTTGTGCAACAAAATTTTATTCAAAAAAATTAATCGAAAACCCTAACATTTTCTATAATAAAGATTTTTTAATCACAATGTTTTTAAATAACAGGGGCTAGTGATGATATTTTAAAATAAGGGAATAGTTGTTTCAGGTTGGAATTTTTATAGTTAATATGTAGGCTGAAAAAATCTTTTTAGAAATTCCTTTTCTTGTTGGTGCCACTAAGTAATGGAAGAAAATGTTTTCTGTAATTTCTTTTTTTTTGAAATGAAAAGAACAGTTTGATTATTTGCCCTTTGAAATCTCGAGAAGGTTTGCATAGAACAGGTATTTATCATACCATGATAATGTAACTCAAACCAAAATGCTTGCTATTTATTGGTAAAAGTTGTTTCCATAATTATGTAGTATGTGGACTAGTTTACCTATATCCTTATTTCCCCAAATTTAGTTACTTTAAGCTTGACTGGGGTGTCAGGGAAGGTCGTTCACAGTTCCAAATAGTGAACAAGTAGCAAAACACATTGCCTTCCATCTATCCCAATGAGCATCAGACGTAAGTATTTCAATGCTACTTTTGAGTAACCAAAAGTCTAACAATTGCAAATATATTATTATTCTTAATTAATGACACTAGTCTGGGTCTGTGGGGCAGTGTAGCAGAAGGAATGTTGACCTAAAAGTCAGAAGCCTGATTTCTATTCCTAGACTCAGTTTCCTTACCTAAGGCTTAAGGGGCCTGGAAGATGCCAGGTCTCCCCAGCAGTATAATCCTACTCTGCCAATTCAGCATCGGTCAGACAGGTCAAGTCCTAGACTCTCTTGAGTCCTTCAGCTGGGTAGGTCTAGAAGCTCTAAGATCTACTTACCTAACTCAGTGGATTAACCTTTCGTGCATCAAACACACGTGATGCTGTGACCTATATAACTGCTGACCCACTGCCACTCACAGCTTACTACACACCTGGTGACCTGCTATTCACCAGGTGGGTGAGTTTCCTCTTAGTTGTGCTTGCTCCCAAGCCTATTTATGCAAGTTTTATACATAATTGTAATTCTGTCATTGAATCAGATAGTACATAAGCAGATAATGTAAGTGTTTAAAGAAAATAACTATTTCCATGACTAAGCTGAACAATCTGGAGAGAACTGGTAAAAGTCTCAATAAAAATTGCTTTTGAATTAAGTGTGTCAACCCAACTGTAAAATAATTTTTAAAATCTAAAACCATTCTGCTCTCAGCCTCGTATCTATATTTAGGTTCCTACAACATTTAGAGACTGAAATGTGATCTGTAGTTGATGTATTAGGATATGCTAATACGTAAACATGGTAGAATGCAAAGCAGAACTGTAATCAAAGAAAAGGCATTTGCAAGCATCAGAAGGCTGGGGAAACAATGTTATTGTTTGTATTAAGTTAAAATAAAACTTGAAGGCGTGTGCTGGAGGTCAGACACGCTGGAAATAGACTGAGACAGATTTCCATGCAGGGAGTTTACTAGGACTCACTTGAGGGGACTACAGTAAAGCAGTGAGGACAGGACAAGACTGCAGTGGAAGAAGTCAAAGTGGAATGCAGCTGCAACGGAAGTCTCAGAGTTGCCCCCGTGTGGGGGGTGGGGTGGGGTGCAGGCTATGTACACTCCCCTCCCTTGTACATTCTCTAGCTACTGGATGAGGACTGTCCCCTGGGGAAGAGGTGTAACCCGGGTAAGGCAGCTGCTTCTTCCTTGGGTTGAGGGTAAATGTTGGGGAGGGACTTCACTGTGAGCCACTCACAGACTATGCTTCCTAAAGGTAGGGAAAAGAGCATTTCTATCCCAAAGCAGGGGCTCATCAATACACAACTAAAAGGATACTTGAGAAGAGCTTAAATACGAATAAAATGGGCCCAATGAGATGTACAATGAAAACCTTAAATTGTGTTCATGGAAACATTTCTGAGCATTCTTTAATTAGGGAGCAACTCTAGTGAACTTTTAATTACTTCTAATAATATCATTCTGTGTAAATCAGTGGTTTTTAACATGGGACAATCTTGTCCTGATCCAGGAAACATGCGACAATGTCTGAGGACACATGTGGTTGTCACAACTGGAGGTGATGTGCTGCTGCCTTCTAGGTAGAGGCCAGGATGCAGCTAAACATCCTACGATGCACATGACAGCACTCACAGCAAAGAACTGGCCCAAAATGTCAACAGTGGCAAACGCTGGTCGAAATCAGCACTTTGGTTAGCAGCTGCAGATAGCAAATATGCAAGTCTTAGATGTCTTCGGAATTTCAACTGGTTGGTTACAAAGCCCTGGTATTTCTTTTGGCTTAGTTGCACTCTGACAAAATTACTGGGATGATGAGGGTGCTGTGAACCAAGGAAATTGGGGAACCTCTGCCCTGAAGGATGGCAGAGGTACCAGACTGGAAGAAACTGTCTAAAATCCACATTGGCCTGTTTCAGAATTTATCTGTTATAGCAGCTAATGTATAGCATTAATGTTTAGCATTAATAATACAGTGAGGTAAATTAATTCATACGAGTTGAAGTTCTGTTCAAATGCAACCCTTGGGTTGAAGCTGTGATTATAGATGGCGTGCTGAGAATCTGTTCTGCGTTGGTAGGCAGACTCTCCAGCGATGTGACATCAAGTCCAACTCTGTCTCTCATTAGCTATGTAATCTACACATGTCACTGTGCACTACTGGGCATTGTTTAAATATCCGTACAACTGGAATATTAGTCCATCTCTAGTGTCTCTTCCAACCCTAACGTCCTACACATCAACTCTATCTGCTCCCTGCTTCCCAAAGTCTCCCATATGACCTCTTCCCAGTCTGGTTCCCATTTCTTCCTTTTCACTGCTTCACAAGAGTCAGTTTGCTTTTCTTTTCCTTAAAGCTGGTACATCTATTGCGTTTCTTGAGTCCCTGCTCATCCACACTAGGTTTGGAGTGGGAAGCAGTCCCTGCTGCTCCCCTTCCATGTGATCCAGGAAAAGAAATGTGCATTTTGAAAGATTTATCACTAATAACACTTGAATTCAGATCAGGAATAACAAAAGCAATAAACATTCTATCACAATATTCTCAGGTAGCATATGAGAAATTTTAAAACAATGTTATTCATTACTCTGCCATAAATCTTGTTCCCTAGTGGTAGTTCCTCACTGTAGCCCCAGGGAAGGGAAGAGTGAGAAAGCAGATGCCGCATCTGGGGAAGAGAAGATATGATGTAGGAAACCCTTGGAAGAAAGGAATCTGAAAGAGGAAGACCATTCCTTCTGGCTGCTACTGAAGTGCAGGGGAGAAGGGTCAGGAGGAGGGGGCACAGATGAAGAGATTCGTGTGTTTTGACCTTCCCTCTTGGACCAAAGTCTGGGAAGAGGGAAGAGTACTGGACAGGTTAAGGGGCAAAACAGAAGTAGGAGAGGCTTTGGCTCGACCTCCCAAATGGGGTCCTGAAAGGAGAGTGCCCTGTAGACTGACATCGCTCCCCAGGTGGCCATAGCAGAGTTCTATCTGGGGAGCGGAAAGGGTGGGCAGGGCAGGACCCCAGAGCCTCCTGTGGTGCTCAGGTGTCCTGGAAGGGATCTAAAGCTTCCTGTGTGCTCTCTCAAGCAATGCAGAACGGAGTTTACAGGACTAGTCTTCCAGATGTCATTGTGGCAAGATCTTGAAACCTCAGCCTGCTGAGAAGGGTCAAAGTCAGACCTCAAAGCTGAGGTGGGGCTTAGCCAGTAAGGCTGAAGCCCCAGCTTTGATCCCTAAAGAACAAAGGAGTTTCCTAGTCACAGACGTCAGCATCAAACAAAGGCCATCTCTGCAGAGGCCAGAAAACTCAGAGGACATTATAAGAGGAAGCCCCTCTTCCCTACCACTGAGAAGTTTTCTGAGCCTCCCTTTCCTAGTCAGATACCCACTTGGAAAGATGTAGAGGGAGAAAGAGAAAATCTTAAAGACTGAGGTGTATTTTGTTTGTTTATTTTTAATGAGATACTTAGTAAGATTCTTTAAATTAACAAATCAAATTGGGTTTCCTGGATTTGACCAAATATTTTTTCTTCATTACTCTATTACTACCTCCATGAAGAAGATTAACTCAATTATAAAAATGTGAAAATGAACTCAATTATGCATATGTGAATGTAGCACACCAAATTTTGATTCTCCTGCTGTTATATCAGCCAGATATCATGTTAGGTAGGTACTTGGATTAGAGTCCCTAGTTTCATCAGTGAAAGCACAATATCCTTTCAATCTCTTCCTTGCAGTCAAGCCTCCTCTTTTCCCATCCTCCAATTTCTGCACTGCATCACACAGGAACCATCCTCTGTGGAGGTTCTTATCTCTAGCCGGATGTTTCACCAACTTCCCTGATGATACCAAAAAAAAAAAAAAAAATCATCCACGGTCCTTGTCAAAACTAAGGCTTCCTCAACCTGTTACTGAGAGATTCCACTTCGATGAACCTAAGGTGGGCTATTTTTAACAAGTACCCCAAATGACTCTTACCACCAGGGTAATTTGAGAAAACCTTATTCTGTCTAAACCATTGATTGCAGTCTGCCCAGTCAGCCACATTTCAGTAAAATGACATCCCCATTTACCCTGATGTACAGGCCAAAGTTTTAGGTCTTCATTCTGCATCTTCTCTCAACCTCTGTATACAAATGTATTACCCATGATGTTATCAAACTAAATCTCAGATAAATCCATCCACTTCTCTCCATCTTCTCTAATAACCACTGTCCTCTTCTAGCCAAAACTTATACAACTCTTAACAATGTTTCTGCTTCCACTCTTCCTTGTTTTCACTTTATTCTACACTCAGTGGCCAGAATCATCTTCTTAAAATATAAATCAGATCTGATCAATATCATGTTGCGTCAGGAAAAGGGAGTGCGAGAGATCATGTCCCAGGGATGTGCCCTGCCAAGTGAGGGTCCTGGGCTTCACACAGAAAAGAATTCAAGGGTGAGCCACAGTAAAGTGAAAACAAGTTTATTCAGAGAGAGACACATTCCATAGACAGAATGTGGTCTGTCTCAGTAGGGCAAGTGGCCCCGGAGTGTGGGGGTGGTCAGTTTTTATGGACTAGGTAATTCCATATTGCTAGTAAGTAGGAGGAATATTCTAACTATTTGGGGGAAGGGGCGGGGATTTCCAGGAATTGAGCCACTGCCCACTTTTGGGCCTTTTATGGTCATCCTTGGAACTGACATGGCACCTGTGGGTGTGTCATTTAGCAGCTAATGTGTTACAATGAGCTAGAATGAGGCTCAAGGTCGACTGGAAGTCGAATCTTCCACCACCTTGGGCATAGTAGGTTCTATCTAGTTTTTATCACATCACCAACAACTATGTCATTCTGCCTCCTTCCCGCCCATCTCAATGTCACACTTCTGATTAAACCTTTAAGGGATTATATACTTGGGATCAAAGCTGAACTTTTCTCATAGCTCACAGATCTTGCATGTTCTAGCCTTGGCAACCTCAGCACCTTCACTCAAGGCCTTTCTTTTACCTGC